AGGGATGGTACGTCTCCCGTGGAAGGTCTGGAGAGTCCAGGGCTGACAATGATGCTGTCCCATGACCCTCCAGCATTGGGGAAGGTAGTTGACCAGACGGAAATCTGCCTGCCCTCACAAACGCAGGGGAGGATTGGCAGCAGATTCCTCTCTCTCTGATGAGAAACAACTATCTTCCCACCCGATCTGAAGGCATGAAGAGTGGAGCGGAGGGAAGCTCGAAGGAGTTCTGTGAGGATGCTTGCAAGAAAGCCACCTCCTCACAAGAAACACCTGACTTGAGCTGATTTAATCAGAGGCCAGGAAAAGTGTCTTTGTCAGGAACAATTGTTTGACTTTGGCACATACTTCCCCAACCTTTGTAAACTCTGCTTCGGATGGTGTTTTGCCCTATGTACTCTGGCCTTGTTTGTGGAGTATAGATCTTGCCTTGTGGACTTTGCACCTTGCTTTTGGACTACACAAGCCTTGTGAATCAGCCCTGATGATTTTTGGCTTTAGTTTGTGGGACTTGTTGCACTGACTGTGGGTGACTGACTTTGAGAAAGTTTGAGGTGGAGGTTTACAGGCCATTATAGGGCCATTTGTTGTGGGATAGCAAAGTAATAAAGGACTTTATTGAAGCCTGCATCTGCCTACGTAATCTGGATGATAACAGCTTGGGGTGCAAATTGTTCCATAGAATATAAATTCCCACACAGAAATAACATTCCTGTGCCTCATCCAGTGATACATTCTGATAGGTGGGGATACACAGTAGTTTATATTGATTGCATGTATTAGGTAGGCAGATTCTGTCTAAAAGAGGTGGTCTCACATCTACTCAAATCCCAAGCTATATATAACTACTCGCTTCTTAAAACCCACCATAACTGATCAGGTGGTTAAAGAGGCAATGGGAGATTTGTACCTTCAGACTTGCCAGATACTGTTAAAACGGTACCTTTAAAAAAATAAAATTAGCTCATCTAGTTGTGATATTTTTTATTTTATTTATATCCCTCCTTTATTATTTTTATAAACAACTAAAGAACATATCAAATTATCTTATCTTCCTCCCCCTATTTTCCTACAACCCAATTCCTGCATCTGTTCTTCATATGTTTTAGCCTCAGGGACAGAATTAGTAATCTTTATCAGCAGGTTTGGCATTTTGAACATATTACATATTCTCTCGCAAAATTGTTGCTGTTCACTTTTCACAATTGTTCTGGTCATTGCCACTTAGCAGAAGACATATATTTTGGAGTTGCTTCCTTCTATTCCTTATAGTCGTTTGAAATATATATATTTTTACCAAATCTTTTGTCTGGTCACCTTTTGTCTTGGTCTGGGGCTTGTGGTCATCATTTCTCTTTTTGTAAGTATGCCTGTGCGATGTATGTAGAGTCCAGGGACATACTTGGAATTAAAAATGAGTACTGGGATTTGGTAGATTGTTGTGCAGCCCATTAGCTTCCTTTGTAGATGTTTAAAATTAAAAGGATAATCTTTTTAAAAAAGAGAGAAATTAATATGGGCAGAGAACCTGACAGGCACAAAGGAAATGCCCTAAGTCATGGTAGAATATGGGAACCAGACTGCCTATCCCTGTGATAGGAAAGGTAAGACATAACAAATCTATATCAAGATTTTTATAATTAGCATATTGTTATGTATATAATTATCTTGAGATAAAGAGGACTATGAAATTAAATAAATAAAATGCCTGGGGTAACTATCCAAACTGTTGTGAGTGGAGGCCACATGATTTTAATAGGTACTGTACAAAGAAGTCCATAGTCCTGTCTTTGAATGTAGGAGGTAGATATAGTAGTATGGATCTAATTTCCTGCACTTCAGTCTCACTCCTTCTTTTGTATAAACAATTGGCTTTTATTATTTAAATTTACTTAATTAAAATATAAACATGATGTCATTGTAAATGCTACTCCAAATATTGATTTTACCTACAGTAGTCTAAGGTATTGTATTTCCATTTTCTAGGAATTCCAACAGTATTCTTTAACAGAACTAAAATACTTCGTAATGTCTCAAAAGACTGAAATACAGCATTTGCAAAAAAAATTGAAACGAACAAATCGTTCACTGGCAAATCATAGTCTTTGCAGTAGAGATTGCTTGGATTGCATCAGTACTAGGGCTGGGAAAAAATACAAGGTAGGAAAGTGTTTATTGCCTTGTGTATTTATGTCAAAATGAGGTTGGCAAAGTTTGACATTTTGTTCTGGGACTCGGATAATAAGAGTTTTAATAACTGTCAATGCTACTTATAATTCTGGAAGCTTTATCGAAGAGTGTTTTTATTATCTGCCAAAGACTTGCTAAAATAACTTTTGGGAGTAGGAAGTTTTACCTTATTAAACACTGGATAAAGGATTGTTAATTTAATGAAATTATTTAAAAGTTCAATTCTTTGTAGAATTCTTAGATGAATATTTATTACTTGATAGTGTTTGTGTGGTTGTCTGTTTTTTTCCAAACAGATGAAACTGAGGTTAAGTTAAAGAAATCAAGTTTGGATTTAAAAGTTTGTAATTAGTGAAAATGCTGAGTTAGGAGTTTATACAAATGATGTTACTTTACTTTTAGAATTAATTACTGATTCCAAAGGCAGTAATTTTGCATTTATTTTGTTTCTTAGAAATTTTCTTTTATTCTGCTTTGAAAGTTTATGCCATGTTTCACTGCATCATTAATCAGAACACAAATAAAGAAACAATAGATTCTATTAAAATATCTGCTGAGACCTGATACTCAAACATAATTCAAATAAAAAAAAGATGCTATAATTGTGAGTAGTAGTATATTTTCTGCATTGAGATTTCTACACTAACTGCCACTTGCTTTCTGGGTCAAATTTAAGATGTTGATTTTGATACATAAATATTCACAAAGTTTAGACCCAAGATCATCCATTGCCATAAAATTCATCTTACTCTTAAGACTGCAATGAGGCACTTTGGATGCAGGTTCCATTTGATATAACATCAGCAAATTCTGCCTTTTCCATTATGGGATCCATATTATGGCATGATTTGCTACCAATAGACTTCAGATTGGCCTATCTATTTACAGTTCAAAAAAGGGCTTAAAAACTCACTTTTTGTCAGATTCTTTAGAGACTTGTAAACAATTATTTTTATGATTATTTTTAGAAAGTTTAAATGATTTGAAATTGGGTATCTGTATGTTTGTAAATCACCCAAGAATATTGGCATGAGCAGCATATAAATAAAAGAAAAGGTAGACAGCGGTTCTAACATTTTGAGGGTACGGTTACAGCACCTGAAATTTCAATTTCAAGATAGACAAAAATAAAACAATTGCTTATTAAGTGCTTCAGAATTTGGACTTGATGTATCTGTTTAAATACTCTTAAATGAGCATTTGTAAATACCAAATTTGTTATAGATATTTATATATATTTTGGTGCCATTTTCTAAAGTGACATTTCAGTATAGCAAATTGACTTGGAAAAATTGTTCTGGGGCTTCGAGGGGAGGAGCTGCCGCCGTCGGGATCTCAACAAAGCTCCTGCCAGGACTCTGGTTC